ATGGAGTGATGAGACTGAAAGTCCTAGATGCCAATAGGCTGAAAGAGCTCAAATGTGGGAAGGAACAACCTTGACATAACAAGATGCCCCATTTCAACCTTTAGAAAGCCATGGGTTTGTGTTGATGATAGTGAAAGCTTAGGAGGCCTGGAGGGATGACAATGTAACAACTGCAGTAGAGGGAAGTAAGGGGAGCCACTAGATATTGGTGACCTACCAGAAGCAGATGGGTAGTATAGGATTCGCCCTAGCAGAAAGACGTAGCAGGGAGGCAAGAGCATTCCCAGAACCAAAACCTCACAGCTAGCAGTAGAATGATCAACACAGAGGCTTGTTTGGCATGAAAGAATGACAATACAGAAAAGCACATAGATGAACCAGAGGAAGGGGGACACAGCTGACCAGGGCTCACCAAAGAAAGGCTCAGGGCAGCATCAGCAGCTAGCCAGCATATTCCCCATACTGACTCTCCAGTTCAGGTAGTCTAATGTGACACTGCAGTGAGCCAAAGGGGTAGTACAGGTCTGTAATTTTATAATAAAAATTGAATAAAACTTAATAGGACCAAATAACACAATGTCTACAATGTCCGACCTCCAAGTGCACTCAGTAGAAACAGAAGCTTCAGTGTCCTGTCCAGGGGTTTGCCCAAGGGAAGAGAAACTTTCTTTGATATAATGTCCTTCCCCCTAAGGAGAAGACTAATACCTCAGAGGCCTGCTGTGTCCCCCAGTGAACAATCAGAAAAAGCCATTTTGTTGAAGCAACTTACCTCTGCATATAAATTGCTGCCATTTCTTAAAAAGCCTGTGAGTGCTGCAACCTGACATGCAAAGTATGGAAGAGCCCAGTTTTCTCTCAGAGGAATAGAGTCTTCCATTCGGGTAGTATCTGTCCTGAAATAAAGTGCATTTATTGATCTAAAGCATCCCTAGCTAAATTAGAAATTCCACTTTGCAAATATAATAGACTATTGATAAGCCATCTCCTAGACATTATACTTAAAAAAGTGTATGAAAACCCTAGCAATGAACCTCTCTTTTTCGCTCCATTTCAGTTTGTAGTTCCAGGGATCGACATATTATCCACTTGAAGACAAAGCCTTTTCTGACATTTTTGTTTACATGAAAGAAAAAAAAAAAAATCTGTATTTTTTTCTAGAAAATCACTTAGAACTCCCAAACATATTTTATTTATAAAATGTATTTAATTTATTTATTTTTAAAGTAGAGGCCCTAGAGAATAAAGTGGTGGATGTTGCAATTTTTTATGTTACACGGTATTTGCGCAGCAGTTTTTTAAGCAAAATGTTTTGGGAATCAAAACACTTTTTATTTTAATGCACAAAAACACAATATAATACCCAATTGTTTGGAAACATTTAAAAGATGATGTTGCACTGAGTCACATGCCACGCTTTAAAATTGCACACGCCCATGCAATGGTGACAAAACAACGTAAAATTTTATTATCCATAGGCGATGCTTTAAAAGCCTTTAAAAGCTACCACTTTAGATTTACACAGGAGTTCTGGTGCTAGAATTACTGCCCTCGATCTGACATCTGCGGTGATATCTCACATGAGTGGGATATTTGCTGTTTGCCCGTACGACGCATGCGTTTTCCTTTGCACACAAGCAAGGGGGGGAGAGGGTTGCTTTAATTTTTTTTTTTTACACTGTTGGTTTTAATTTTTTAAAATCACTTTTATTGTTATCACAGAAATATTAAAATCACCTGTGATAGCAATAGTCAGTGGCAGGTACTATTTATGGATAGATCTGGGGTCTATCGGGTGATGTCCCCACCCCTTACATATTTAACAACTGACAAACCACCAGAGCAGGCAGACGGCCATTTTTTTTTTTTTTTTTTTTTTTTTTTTAAATTCTTTTTTTTTAGGTGGGCATCTTGATTGACGTTGGATCTACTGTGGGGGACATTCTTTTAGTTTTTCCTTTTAATAAAGAACTTGTCAAAGACCGTCCAGATTCCGATAAGCCCCCTGCCCGCAGACCCCCACAACCACCAGCCAGGGTTATGGGGAAGAGGCCCTTTTCGCCCCCTGCCCCATAGCACTCGCTCATCCCCCCCCCTTTCCTGACCTTTCCTGACCCCCATGCCAATTTTTTTTAAAATTTTGGCGTGGAGTTCCCCTTAAAAACCCATACCAGACTGAAGGGCTTGGTATGGATGGGAGGTGGACCCCACGCCGTTTATTTATTTTTTTTAAAATGTTGGCAATTCTGTTACATTCAGCTGTCAGTGGGGAACCCCGCTGACAGCTGAAACATTACCACATGGTTGTCACTACTAAAATACCGCATGACTTGATAAAAAACTCCTGCGGTATTTTAGCAGCATTTACTTTTTTCTGACCTCAGGAACGGATTAATTGGTTTGCATTCTTATGGGAAACGGCGTTTCGGTTTACAAATTTTTTGCTATACAAAATGTCCCGTAGAACGAATTAAATTTGTAAACCGAGGTATGCCTCTATTATGTATACCATGAATTATTTAGCATTACCTTTTATTTCATGTGCATTATATGTGCAGACCAAGTTAGTTGTTCTGCAAAAGTGACAGTCATAGAGGTTGGGACAAACTATAACATTGCTGTTGCTTTAAAAAGAAAATGTACATATTGTGAATGAAAGGTAAGCAGCCCCGACATAGTCTGTCCCAATCACTGATGCTTTTTATGGACAGCTTTGTCGCCATAAAAATGTAAAGAAATACTGTATATAAAGGCATGTGAAATAAAACAATGTATATACTGATATATCCTTATATGTATTAACCAAGCACAGATATCAGACATTTTTCACAATAGGGGTGTATTTGTAACTAAAAGGGGTTTTTTTAAGATTTGGATAGAATGGGAAACAGTACCTTTATCCGTTTATTTTTTTGCTGTACATGTGTAATTGGAAAGGTTTTCCATCACTTACTGTCCTGAAGACAAATCAAGAAATGAAAGAGATCCCCTTTTTACACAGCTGTCACTCGAACAAATGTCACCATTGAAATATTTTCCCTTAACTTTTGGTCAAGAGAAAACTAAAATTTGGTTTTATCATTACTTTCTGCCCCATAATAATGGTCACCAAAACAAAATAAGAGAGTCTGGGGTTACAGACAACAATAAAAAAAAATCTGGAGAGGGTTCCAATCCTTTCCTTACTCTATGAAAAAAAAATGTGGCTATATATACACTTTAACGCTAATATAAACCACTGTAGGAGGTATGAGCCTCCATATACTGGTTGGCGGATTAAAACGGACAATGTTATTAGAGTGATACACAATTAATGTCTGGGAAATTACCACTTTTCTGGAGTTTTACAGCTAGAATTGAATTATTAATAGTTTTATTGTGACATGGCCAATATTTTTTATATCTTAAACAGAGTAAAATGTCAGCTCCAAGGTTCCAGGGTCTGTGCAGAAAGTGCACTCAGAAATGAAAGCCAGTTTGTACCTGTTAATAATAAACCAGGCAGTTGTCAAAATCCCAGCCAGCCAGGTGCCACTCATCATCCAGCTGGTGACAAACAAGGCACCAATATATATTCCTTGTAGGCCAAATATGATTCCGATGTAGAAATATACGGGGTCCACTGCACCCTGTAAAGAGAGCAGAGACAGTGGTGAGAATAAGTCTTCATGCACACTGGACATTTTTACAGCTGCTGTTTTTGGCATCTGGCGTTTTTTTCTACAGCCAGTAAACTCCCCAGCATGTTATCCTATGTGTTCATGCACACATAGGCTTTAATCAGCGTTTTTCGGCAGGAGCATTTTCTGGCTGGAAATAAAACCTAGGACTAGTGGGTTTCAAGAGGAGTTTTTTCAGCTGTAAAAATTCTCTTAACGCTGATAAAAGCTGAGAAACAAACATAAAAGCTGAAAGATGCTAATAAACACGGCTATCCAGCGTTTATGAGCCTGAAGATTTTCAGAGAGTATAACTTTGCTAAAAACACAAACGCTGAAAAACACTAAGGGCTCGTTCACACTTGGCTGTTTTACCAACGCTTGCCAAACGCCCCTATAGCGTTTGGCAAGTGTTGGTCCGGCGTTTGCGGAGCGTTTTTAACGCTCCGAAAACGCCACATGCGCGGTTTAGTGGCGGTTGCTAGGCGTTTGCCGAGCGTTAATAACGCCCCACAAACGCCTATAATACAGTTTGAGTGGTGTTCCCGCTCCGCAAACGCCCCGCAACCGAGTCGCAACCGCACCGCAAACGCCGGCCGGGCGTTTGCGGAGCGGCACCATAGACGAGAATAGGGGGCTTCAAAGCCTCCTGACTCGACCAGATGGCGTCCATTTTGCCGCGACGCGACGCAAACGCTCCCGTTAGAACAGCACCATGTGCTGTAATGTGCAGAATTGGCAGAGGCGTTTGGGAAGCAGTAAAAACGCTTCCCAAACGCCTCTCTGCCGCCTGCACACAAGGCTAGTGTGAACGTAGCCTTAAAAACAAAACAAAAAAACAAACAAACAAAAAAAAAAACGCTTAAAAAAAAAAAAAAAAAAAATGCAAAAAAACCCACAATGTTATTGCAGCATTCTACAGCTAACTCTACTGGCGGTTTTATAATGTCCAGTGTGCATGAGGCCAAACTGCACTTTGTACAGGAGACGAAACAATCTTAGTTCTTTCACTTTGATCTATTCCAGGAAACCTCTGCTGAAGAGGAGAGCTAGCCAAACCAAACTCTGATTCCTTTCCTACAGCATTTGGTCTAAGTGTTTGGTCACATGAAAGGCCTCCAAGGGATCCCCACAGACACCATTTTTGCAGTTTATTTCAGGGCTACTGTTACGATTTAAGGGAGTGGAGTTATTTTACCTTTAGCTCTCCTTTAATGACATTTACACTGAAGAGTCCATGAAAGTTGTAGACTTTACCTTACTCCCAGACATGTGATACAGGGCACTGGCTATGAGCTCTGGGTACAGGGTCATCTGCTGGACAGCATTAATAGTCTTCATGGGCACCGTCTTATTGTTATAAGCCAATTCAAAGATACCTGAAATAAAAAGCATATCAGTTACATTTCAGACACAAACAAGAATGGTCCAAGGCAAAGTATCATGTGACTGATACTTATTTAAGAGTTTTAGATTACTATACCTCTTTCAAATGATGGGGCTCGCAGCATGTCTTTAAAAAATGAATAGTACACAGCTCCATCTCCCTGAAAAGTGATTTCTCGCTCAAGATCCTAGAGAACAGATGAGTGCAACACAGTGTTAACCATATGCCTATGTTAAAAGGCACAACTAGAGATCGAGATCTAGTTTGCTATGTAATAGAGGTAACACTTTCTTATCTTTTTTCTTGTTCCTTATTGAAATTAGAATGTTCAATCTTGTGCTGCAAAAATTACAATTGGAGGCAGATTAGCCATTATGAGCAAGAAGTTTTTCTTGTTTTTCGTACATTAGCATCACTGTTTAATGTAGAAAAGCACTACACCACAATGAAAGTGCAAATCCTTAAAGGGGAGTTCCAAGTATGTATATTTCATAGTTACATTGGTCCAGCTTGGACCAATGTTACTATGTATCTACAATATCAGGCTGATGCCACTGGAAGTTGGAAATCACTGAAATAGGCACTGCCACTATAGTGATCTCCATTTGCTTTCAGGTGCTGCGCCATGCGGCTGCCATGCTGCTTTCTGATCACAGGGGGGTGGCCACTCGGCACGGGTGTAATTCAGAGAATGCTCTGCATTTCCTGAATGAATGCAAAGAGTTCACTGATTGAATGAGGTAGATAGGTGGGGTGGCAACATCACTTCAGTGATTTTCAGCTTCCAGGGGCATTGGGCAGGTACGATCAGGGGCGGACTGACCATTTGGAAACTTGGGCACTGCCCGAGGTCAGTAGGGGTCCCCATGAGATGCCCCCGGTACCTTTTCTAGGCTTTTTTGAGTTTGGGCAAGGACACGGGCCCCATGATCCCCTATTGCCTGGGGGCCCCATAAGTTGTCAGTCCGCCCCTGGGTATGATGTATACATACAAAACATGGAACTCCTCTTTAGGAGTAAAACTAAATATTATGTTAGTTTTTTTTTGCAGATTCTATTCTAGAAACAGTTCAGACAAGAGGTGTGCCCCACCATTACCATCATTACTGGTGAACTTCTCTAATGGAAGTTGTCACACAGTTATGCAGGAAATAGGCTAAACCAATGTACCGCTTTTAATTGTGACTGATGCACCACACAAACTATAATTCAAATTATTTAACCAAGATTGTGGTGACCAAGGGACCCTCAAATTCTCTGAACAGATCTCAACAAGAGAGGAGACACCCACTAGTAGGTGGTTAGGTTTGTACAACATCTTCTCTAGGAACCCTATTTTTATAGCTACCTTGATGGTGAGAGAAAACATAATGAGGGAAAAGGGAAAATACAAATCATGTCCTGATTTGTATTTATTGTTGAAACCAACAGAGGAGATACCTTTTCTGTGTTTGTTCTGGATTTAAATAGGGGAAACCATTTATAAGTCAGAAAGCCAACATTACAGGGCCTGGCATCCAGATTTACCAAGCCCTGCCATGTAGGAGCGTCTGCAGACATGTATGAAGGTGTGCACATCAACCTATATAAGTAATGAGAATGGCGGAGTGGTGGACTGTTATTTCCCCTGTGCTGTGGCCAGTCAGCTGTGAACCTACACAAGGGGCTTTGTACCATGTGATCGATTTGATGACCAATTACAGCAATCACAAATGTAAACACATTACTGTTTACATTGTTGATCCCACCCATTCCTCTCATAATGGAAGGAGAGTAAATAGTAGTAATCCATGAATGGAAAATGAATGAATAGTGCTGGTGCTATATAAAATTAATTATATTGGTAAAAAAAACACTGCTGTGTAACTGGTCAAAAGAAGTTCTCAACATTTTGCTGTAAAGCATGCAAAGAAGCAGACCGGGGCGAGCTGGTTGTGTACTACATAACCTAAACAAAAATAATAACAGGTAAGAGAGCAACAATAGCTGTGTAAAAGCTGTGCATGCCTACCAATTCCTTATTTGTGAGGACAACGCAGCCTGCTGCCACCTTCTGAAAGAGAGATCTCCTAGATTGTAAGCTCGAAAGAGCAGGGCCCTTGACCCCCTCGTGTTTTGTTACTGTATTGTCTCATGTTCTGTCCCCCACTATAATGTACAGCGCTGAGCAAACCTTTTAGCGCTATATAAATACTGCATAATAAATAATATTACTAAAACATGGCTTTGGCTTTCAGGAGGAGGGTGGGAGCAAAGACTGATGGCTCCTATATAATCCATGAGTCAGCAGAGAAAAGCAGAGAATGTATAATATTTTATAACATTCTGTGAAAGGAGCTCCCTGTTGCAATGCAATTGGAACACCTACTTGGAATGTTAAAAGTTCATATCAATTGTTGCCATCTAGAGGAGGACAAAGGAGCTATTGACCCATGCTGCATTTTTCTTAAAAACCAAGTGCCTGAGGGGAATGGGTGAGCAGTTGCCACAATCTTTATTTCTGTGCTATAGGTTACATATTCTGCCACACTCTATGCATTGTGCTGTATATGTTGCTTACTCCAGACTATAACAAACCATATTCTGCACCATATTTTACATACTCTAGGGGGTCTACAAACTTTCTAAAGAAAGGGCCAGTTTATTACCCTTCAGACTTTAGAAGGGACGGACCGTGGCCAGTGGGAGTAGAAACTGTCCTGGCCTTTGTAACAATGCTCCATCATTGGGGTCAGTGGGAAGAATAGTGGCCCATTATTGGTGTCAGTGGGAGGAATAGTGCCCCTTCATTGGTGTCAGTAGGACGAATAGTGCCCCTTCATTGGTGTCAGTGGGAGGAATAGTGCCCCAAGGGACAGATAAAGGCAAGCAAAGGGCCGCATCTGGACCCCAGGCCAAAGCTTGGAGATCACTGCTAGAGCACCACACTGCCACTACTTCATGTTATATACTCACCACTGCTCCACTTTGTTGGTTGTATAGACTTTACCTTGTTAAAAAGGATAAGTTTGCCTTTGGGGAATAAATAATAAAATGTACATATTTTTGCAGAAGAAAAAAAAATGTGCGTTTATTATTTTTACCGCCAGGAAACTGCAAAGCATTGCATCCTTGATCAGTGGATTGCAGGTGCAATATCAGCCTCTTGCAGACAAGCTCTCCAACTTTCATCCCGTATTTCTGTATGGGCTTTCAGTTTGAAAGCTGCAGGGCTTGTGAATGAACTACAAAGGCATTCATCAGCAACTAAATAAGGGTGAAATGCGTAACATGCCCCAAAAAGGTGAACTTAGCCTTTAATCATCACGTTTTGTAATAAAACCACTAGCAAAGCTTTTGACTTTTAGAGTGGTTGTAAACCTCACATATAAAATATGAACAATGCATATCCCTCTATTGTGTGTACTTGTTTCAATTCAGAGCCCTAAGTGTCATTTCTGTCTGCTGCTTCTTTCCTCTACTACCAGCATGAATCACTTCAGACAAGGTTTCCTGACACCAGGAGAAAAAAGGTGACAGGGAGGGACCTCAAGCACATAGCCTGTAATTGACAGCCTCAGCTCTCTTCCTGTGTGCTGTGTGAAGGGGGGGGGGTCCCTTCCCTTTAATCAGCTCTCACAGCTCTCCTCACTGAGCTCTACCGTGTGTAGTTTCAGCTCTCTACCTCTACTCTACCTGAAACTCTCTAGTTTTCCGAAAGGCCATCTGTATAAATTCTGGATTTTAAATGACTGCAGAGAAAGAGTAGACTGCAGATAAACAGGCACAATTTATGTAAGAGGATTTGTTTAATCTCTGTGTATCATTTAAAGCCAGTCACTTCACTGGGTGGGTATGGGTATATATATATATATATATATATATATATATATATATATATATATATATATATATATATATATATATTTGCTAGGATCTGACTGATGGCCATGGACAATAAAATCACTTAACTTTGCACTATTTTTACATCAAAGTAACTTGAATGGAAGAATTAATAAAAAGTCCCAAGGCCCTGGCCAAAAGCATGTGATGCATGGCTGTATATTACACTTCTCTTTTATCTTTTAAATAGTTAGTAGATAAAAGAGAGAATCTAATTACCTGCTACTAAAAACATACTTTCAATTATGAAACGCACTCTTACATCAGTAGCATTTCCTGCCAAATGATTCAGCTAGAATCTTCAGTTATTAGGGGAAGGCATGTTTAACATAAAGATAAAAGATACTTTCTTTTCTTCTATTTAAAAACAGCTTTGCTCTGGCCTTTGCTGACCACTGGTAATACAGGTAAAACATGGTGGAATAAAGGCTTGACCTAGTGTGCCACAAGCCCTGTACACTGCTGGTGTCCTGAAGTCAGAAAGTCGCCAGCTTTAAGTGGCTCCATAGACATCGCTTATCTGGCCTGCAGACCTCTGCAGTGTAAAGCACATTTCTTGTAAACACAAATAAAATCCAATGCTGTTGGAGCTTTTCTGCAAGCTGTACACTTGTACATTTTCCCATCCATGCTAAACAGCATAGTTGAAGGCACCTACACTGCTGGCTATTGTAATGAGGCAGCTGCAGCACCCACGGTTGTCCCAGTACCTGAACAATGGATGTATCCATTTGGATGCAGTGGCTGTTTGGCTGACAATTTTCCACAACTGAAGTTTAACCTCTTCCATACCGGGCACTTTTACCCCCTTCCTGCCCAGGCCAATTTTTTCAGCGCTCTCACACTTTGAATGACAATTGCGGCGGTCATACAACATTGTATCCAAACTAAAATTTTATCATTTTCTTCACACAACTAGAGCTTTCTTTTGGTGGTATTTAATCACCACGGGGGTTTTTATTCTTTGCTAAATTAACAAAAAAAACCGAAAATTTTGAAAAAAAAAAAAAAGTTTTCTTTGTTTCTGTTATAAAAGTTTGCAAATAAATAATTGTTCTTCATAAATTTAGGCCAAGATGTGTTCTGCTACATGTCTTTGGTGAAAATAACCCAAATTAGGATGTATTTTTTAGTTTGTAGGAAAGTTATAGAGTTCACAAACTATGGTATAATCTGAATATTGATCAATCCTGAAGAACTGACAGCCAATCTAATTTCTTGAGGTCCAAGAATGTCAGAACAGTACAGATATCCTCCAAATTACCCCTTTTTGCAGAGTAGACAGTCCGACGTATTTCATAAGAG